TAGTATGAGTACACTACGGTCGGTACCCAGTAAGTATCAAGACTAACCTCAATGGAGTAGAGAGGAGGTACAATCAAGACACTCACTAGTCTAATAACCTGTGCAATATAATATAAATAGTAGGAAACAGATAGCAATAAGGGTAGGATAAAAAAACCAGTGGTATGCGCAGCAAGACAACAAGAATACCATAAATTTCACTCAATAATTAATAAATACATGTACGCCAAATTAATTCAAGTTTTTCAAATAAATATCCTTCACATATAATTCTTCCAAATAACTCTCTTTCAAATGTAGTTTTCTCAAATAATTATTTTTCAAATATAATTCTTTCAATAAATCTTTTCAAATATAATTTCCTCAAATAAATATCTTTCAAATACAATTATTTTTGAATAAAAATCCTTCCAAATAAATATTTTGAATATAATTCTATGAATTAAAAAGTCATCATGTGACACCTCATTTCATAATCATAATAATACGAGTCTCAGCCCATTTTCATATTTTCAACGTACCTTGTGCCCATAATTAAATCATCATATTTCCCTGGCACCTCGTGCCCTCATTTCATATCACAACTGCACGGACAATTTACGTGCCAATTATCATTATCATTTAATCATAACACCTCGTGCCCACATTTCATATCACAACTGCACGGACAATTCACGTGCCAAATATCCTCATTATTTACTCACGGCACCTCGTGCCCATATTTCATTTTATAAACCGCCTGGCAATAGCCACATGCTCTCAATTTTGACATAAATCAGATTGTTATCAATTTACCAACAATAAGACAAATTGTACAAGGTATAAAAATAAACACAAGCAAATCACAACATCACCCAAAAATTATCAACACCACAACCCCACATCATCACATATCGTCTCTGACAATAGCCACCCTTATCGCTCCTATTGCCGCCCTTATTGCTCCTATAGCCACCCTTATCGCTCAGTCCAGACAATATAAATAGCCACCCTTATCTCTCCTATTGCTACCCTTATCGCTCCTATAGCGACCCTTATCGCTCCGCCCAGACAATATTCCAACAAACACAACAACAGTGAAATGCCACCCTTATGCCCACATAATATCAACGGTGAAATGCCACCCTTATCTCCCCAAAATAATAATTCACGCAACACAACAATTTACACGAAAAATTAACATGGCAATATAATAAAATCAATTCATATCACAATTTGCCCAATGGCCACAACCAAATTCCAAAGATATAACAAAATTAATTAATTTCACAACCAATAGCCTAAGGCTCCACACAATGTATATAACACCCAAAAACAATCAATAGAGATAGAAATTACTCAGTATAAAGCAAAGCCTTCATTAATGTAAATTTAGATAATTATTTTAATACTTCTTCTTAAGCTCGCTTAAATTAATTATTTGCATAAGAAAATTCATATTGGAATTTATTTCCAAGAAACATTAAACCAACAATACTCACGAAATTTCATAAATATTTCAAGTAACAATCACATCAAATTATCATATAAAAATAAATTCAACAATAAGGATTTAGGCATGGAAAACAGATGCTTTAATAATTTTTCACAATTTCCCAATTTACTACACAATAATGCCTAAGACTTTATTTCAATGAATTTTGCACGTATAAGCCCAAGTACGTACTCGTCACCCCGCGTACACGGCTTTTCACATTTTACAAATGGCGCATAAGACTCAATGCCTAAGGAGTAATTCCCCCACTCGAGGTTAAGCAAGACACTTACCTTTTTGAAGTTAGGCCGATATTCCAAAATAGCCTTCTTGCTTGAATTGACCTTCGGTCAGCTCAAATCTATCCAAATTAATTGTATAACTTCATTAAAATTAATCGAAAACAATTTCAGATAATAATACGTCGACTTAAAAATTTATTCCAAAAAGTCAACGCGGGGGCCGCCCCTCGGAACCTGACATAATTTTTATGAAATGCGAACACCCATTCTGATACAAGTTCAACCAAACCAATTTTATCGAATTCCAATAACAACTCGACTTCCAAATCTTAAATTTTCGTTTTTGGAAGATTTTTTAATAATCTTGATTTCTTCCATTTAACTCCGAATTAAATGATGAATATAATCATAGATCATGAAATATAATCACTTTAGGATATAGAATACTTACCCAAGTCAAAGTCTTGAAGAACTCCTCCAAAATCGCCCAAAAACCCAAGCTCTAAAATCACAATCGAAAAATGGTGAAATGACCATTTTTGGTCCTTAACATTCTGCCCAGTTTCACACCTGCGGACTAATTTTCCGCATCTGCGGCCTCGCTTTTGCGAGCCAAGATGTGCATCTGCGATGATCACTGCCCAGCCACAAGCTCGCACCTGCGGAGCTATTTCCGCTTCTGCGATGATCGCAGGTGCGCAGCAAATTCTGCTTCTGCGCTGACTCGTCGCATCTGCATAGAAAACATCGCACCTGCGATTGCGCTGGTGCGGAAGGCTGTCTGCATCTGAGATATTCCTCCAACTCTGCCCAGCTTGCTTCTGCGACGAAATCCTCGCTTCTGCGAGGTCGCACCTGCGCCCAAAATTCCGCAGGTGCGATTCCAACAGTTGCTGCCATTTTCCAGCAGCTTCTTCCAAGTCTGAATTGCTCCGTTAACCTTCCGAAATCCACCCGAGGCCCCCGGGACCTCAACCAATTATATCAACATGTCCCAAAATACAATACGAACTTAGTCAAGGCTTCAAACCACATCAAACAACGCCGAAATTATGAATCGCGTATCGAATCGAATTATAAGTTTTCAAATCCTCTAACTTCTATATTTTGCGCCGAAACGTATCAAATCAATCCGGAATGACTTAAAATTTTGCACACAAGTCAAAATTGATGAAATGAAGCTATTCTCATTTCCGGAATCGAAATAGGACCTCGTTATCAAAATTTCACCCTTCGGTCGGACTTTCCAAAAATCTTCTATTTTCTAACTTTCGCCAAAAAGCGTCGAATTATCCTACGGGCTTCCAAATCCGAATCCGAACATACGCCTAAGTCCAAAATCATCATACAAAGCTATTGACATCATCAAAATTTCATTCCAGGGTTGTTTTGCTCAAAAGTCAACTCCCCAGTCAACTATTTTCTTTTAAGCTTCTTAAATAAGAATTGTTCTTTTAATTAAATTTTGAATCTTCTGAAAATCAAACTCGACCACACCCCGTGGGTCATGATACATATTACGAAACTGATCGAGATTTTAAGCCACTGGACGGGGTGTTAATTCTTAAAACGACAAGTCGGGTCATTACAAGAACTTTCTTAGGTCCAAGGATACTTCTAAACAAATATGGGATTCCATGAAGATGAAGCGAGCGCAACTCCAAGCGCTTCGTGCTGAGTTTGAAACTCTACATATGCAAAACAGTGAGTTGGTGACTGAGTATTTCTCAAGGGCGATGGCTATCGCAAATAAGATGCGAATTAATGGAGAAAAGCTGGAGGACGTTACCATCATTGAGAAAATACTTCGCTCGATGACAGCAAAGTTCAACTATATCGTTTGCTCCACTGAAGAATCCAAGGACATTGATACTCTTTCTATTGATGAATTGCAAAGTTCTTTGTTGGTTCATGAACAAAAGTTAAATCAACAAGACAAGGAAGAGTTAGCATTGAAGACAACGACTTTCTCAAACGGAGCAGATCATGAGAAAGGCAAATGGAAGGGAAAACACTGGCATCACAAAAAGGAAAAGATCAAATCTGGTGATTCTCAAGGAAAAGGGAAAAGGCGTGACAAATCTCAAGTGGAATGCCCTTCGGTGCCATCGGTATGGACACTATCGCTCAGAGTGTCGTACCAATTTAAATAAAAATTATGGCAGAAGGTCTAACTTTGCAGAGACAAAGGAAGATGCAGAGACAAAGGCGGAAGAAGATGTTTCTCTCTTGATGGCATATACTTCTAGAGAAAGAGTTTCTGCTAATTTATGGTATCTTGATACCGGTTACAGCAATCACATGTGTGGACACAAAGTGGCGTTCTCAGAATTGGATGAAACTTTTCAAGATACTGTGAAGTTTGGAGATAATTCCGCTGTCTCTGTTATGGGAAAAGGGAAGGTACAAGTCACAACCAAAGACAACTCCATTCTTACTATCAGTAATGTCTTTTATGTTCCTGCTTTAAAGACAAATTTATTGAGTGCTGGACAACTTTTAGAAAAGGTGTATGAGCTTAATATCAAAGGTGGAGTTTGTCAAATATGACATTATTATTTGGGGTTAGTTGCTCAAATTAATATGTCGACCAATCGTTTGTTTCCTTTATATCTTTGCAACACCACAAAGTCTTGTTTTTCTGCAAAAGTGAAGGATGGTGCATGGAAGTGGCACTTTCGTTATGGGCATCTAAATTTTAGAAGCCTGAAATCCTTATCTCAGAAAGAGATGGTGTTGGGTCTGCCGCAATTTGAACCCCTTAACGGCACCGTGAATCATTTCCAACAAGCAAGTCTTGGAGGGAAAAGAAGGTGTTGGAGCTAGTACACTCAGATATTTGTGGACCCATAAGTCCTACATCTAAGGGAGGTAGACGATATTTCATCAGTTTCATTGATGATTATAGCAGAAACACATGGGTTTATTTCTTAAAGAAAAAATCAGAAGCATTTCAAACTTTTAAGAAATTTAAAGTGTTTATTGAAAATGAAGCTAGTTGACAAATTAAAAGCTTGCGGACTGATCGGGGTGGAGAATACAACTCAAATGAATTTGTAGAATTTTGTGAGAATCATAGAATTAGAAGGCAACTTACGGCAGCCTACACACCTCAACAAAATGGTGTGTGCGAAAGGAAAAATCGCACAATTCTTGATATGGTGCGTAGTCTTTTGAAGAGAAGCAACTTACCAAAAGATTTTTGGGCCAAAGCAGTTCACTGGAGCATTCATATATTGAATAGAAGCCCTACTAGTTCTGTTCAAAATATGACACCTCATGAAGCTTGGAGCGGGTGCAAATCAAATGTGGAATATTTTTGCATTTTTGGATGTATTGCATATGCCCATATTCCAGATGCTGCTAGAAAGAAGTTGGATGATAAAGGCCAAAAATATATTTTTCTTGGTATTAGTGACAATTCAAAGGCTTATCGTTTATTGAATCCTATTACTAAGAAAATTGTTATTAGTCGTGATATCCTTTTTTATGAAGAAGCAACTTGGAATTGGAACAATGCTGGTTCTTCCCAACAAATTTCAGTTGGTAATGAAGAAGAAGAAGAAGAACAACCTTTGGAGATTAGTTCACAAGCTGGTTCCATAATACAAAATGATGGAGCTGTTGAACATGAATCAAATGATGTTCAGTCCAACAATGAACGTCCTCAATATAGCAAAAGCACACCGGCATGGATGGAAGACTATGAAGTATATGGGATTAGTAAATCTGGAAATTCAGCTAGTCATTTTGCTTTTATTTCAGATTGTGATCCTATAGCCTTTATTGATGCTGTCAAAGATCCAAAGTGGAAGCAAGCCATGCATGAGGAGATTAGAGCAATCGAAAGAAATAATACTTGGGAGTTGACAGATCTTCCAGAAAATCAGAAGACCATTGGTGTCAAATGGGTTTACAAGACAAAGTTGAAGGATAATGGAGAGGTCGACAAGTATAAAGCTCGCTTAGTTGCAAAAGGATATAAGCAAGAGCATGGTGTTGACTATGAAGAGGTGTTTGCTCCCATTGCACGGTTGGACACCATAAGATTGGTAATTACTTTGGCTGCTCAAAATGCATGGAGTATCTTCCAGTTAGATGTGAAGTCTGCCTTCCTACATGGTGAGCTACAAGAAAAGGTATTTTTCGAACAACCTCCTGACTATGTGAAATCTGGTGCTGAAAATAAGGTGTACAGGTTGAAAAAGGCTCTATATGGGCTAAAACAAGTTCCAAGAGCTTGGTATAGTCGTATAGATACTTATTTTTTAAAGGAGGGATTTCTAAAGTGTACATATGAACATACTCTTTATATAAAGAAGAATGATGCAGGAGTTCTAATGGTATGTTTGTATGTTGATGACTTAATTTATAATGGAAGTGATATGGCTATGATTGAAAATTTTAAGAAGTCCATGATGGTCGAGTTTGACATGTCGGATTTGGGTATGATGCGTTATTTTCTTGGTATAGAAGTGAAGCAATCTGCTGGTGGGTTTTTTATTTATCAAAGGAAATATGTACAAGATATTCTAGATAGATTCGAGATGAAAAATTGCAACTCTGTGAGCACACCAATGGAGAAGGGTCTGAAGCTCATTAAAGAACCTGAAGGTAGAGAGGTGGACAACATTCTTTATAAGCAAATGGCTGGAAGCTTGATGTACTTAGCGGCAACAAGACCTGATGTCATGCATGTTGTAAGTCTTATTAGCAGATTCATGGAGTGTCCAAAAGAAGTACATTTACAAGCTGCTAAAAGGATCTTACGGTACTTAAAAGGTACTAGTGAGTTTGGAATTTTTTACAAGAAGAACGCAACAGGAGATTTGCTTGGTTATACTGACAGTGACTATGCTGGAAATCTAGATGACAGAAAGAGTACATCTGGATATGTTTTTATGCTAGGCTCTGGAGTTATTTCTTGGTCTTCAGAGAAACAACCTATTGTTACTTTGTCGATTACAGAGGCGGAGTATGTAGCTGCAAAATCATGCGCTTGTCAAGCTATATAGTTGAGAAACATCCTTGAAGAACTTCTTTTTAAGCAGGAAGGGCCTACACCTATTTATTGTGACAATACCTCAACAATTAATCTTTCAAAAAATCCAGTTCTACACGGAAAGAGTAAACATATAGATGTGAAATATCACTTCTTGTGTGATCTCACAAAGGATGCAAAGATCAGCCTTGTTTATTGCAGAAGTGAGGAGCAGGTTGCAGACATGTTCACAAAGCCCTTGAAGCTAGTGTCATTCCTAAAGCTACGTGACTTGCTTGGAGTTTGCAAATTAAATTGAAAGATGTTTCAGTTTAAGGGAGGGAATGTTGGCAATTTGGCTTTGTAGGTCGTTTAGTTCATTTGTTAACGTGTTAATTGTTTACTGATGTAATGTATGCAACAGTTAAATTAGTACGTAGTTTCCTAGTCTTTAGGCTACATGTGCTAGTGGAGTTTATGGTCAGTTAGTGGAGTAGTTTCCTCTTTTATTTAGAAGTCATGGACATCTTCAGTTATTAGTTTTCTTCTATTTAAAGCGTCTGATATATTTGATATATTACTCAAGTCAATTAAGTACTTTCATTTTCTGTTGCTTTCTCATATATGCTACTGACAATTTTTAACATTCCTACCCGTTGGCTTGTTTTTATGTTTTATATGACCCTGCAAAATATGTTCTCGCTAGTTTGTTTCATATTATTTATTTTGTCTGTTTTAAATAGAAGCAAAATTATGATTAACGAATGGATCTAGTATTTTCTGGACACATGGCAAGCATCAAGCCCATTATTGAATATTACCGGAGCAATTGACACTGGAGCAAATCCGTTCCCCTATTTCTAATACTCCTTCCGTTTCAAATTTATGTGAATTCATTTGACTCGGCACGAAATTTAAGAAAAGAGAGAAGACTTTTAAACTTGTGGTGTAAAATGATACACATATATTTTGTGTGGCTATAAATCATTGCATAAAGGTAAATTGTTTCCAAATAAGGAAAGGGATCATTCTTTTTGGCAGGGACTAAAAATGAAATAGGTTCACATAAATTGAAACGGATGGAGTAATATATTTAAGTCACTAGTTTCTAGGCTGTTAGGATATACTATAAACCTTGCGTTTTGTTATAGTATTCTTTATGAAATAATTATTTATTTATTTTATTCAATAAAATTTTATTTTAAATAGATCATATATTTGTCTATGCGTGTCCTTTGCATGCATAGTAGATGATTTAGTATATAGAGTTTAGCTTATACACGAAAGATTAAATCATCGGTCCTTATAAGTCATAAAGTTTATGTTCACAATCTAATGATGGAATTGGACAAACCATCGGAATGATTATTGCACAAGATTAAATATAATTTATCTTGATTATGGGAATGGTTTAATTCCGATTTCTTGTGTTAGTACATTTTGTATATATTGAACGGATCAAGTAAAGATAAGTATTTTATACTGACTTAATAAAATAATTTCTCTAGTCCATTCAATGTACTTATACTCTTAATCTTGATATAATTATTATTAGTATTAGTACCCGCACGTTGTGCGGGTAATATTGTGATACTGTTAAAGTTTATAAATTATATTAGATAAAATAAATCATACGAATAATTATTGGCAGTAGCTCAAATATTATAACCCCACATATAGTCAGTGATACAAACAAACAAAAAATTAATATGATTAAAAAATAAATAATACTACACGGAGTAACAACTAATAAAAATATGTTTAGTAATAACTTAATTTAAATTTACAAAAAAATATATCCTATTATTATTTCAACAGAAGTACCTCTCGTAACAACATCAACTTCTGCTAACCTAAAGTTACACTATTTATTACGTTCAGTATTTTAATATTGAAAGACAAACTAATATATACATACATGATGATTTATTGACAACTATCATATTCTCACTTTTGGGAGTTACCAACATATAGAATAGTTGGATCGAAATTTGCTTAATAAATTTGATGTCACTTCAATTTTAACCACACAATTAAAGTCACTTTGCTTTTAACAATTTAAATGACACCTTTGGGATATAGACATCTGTTTAGATCACTATTTGTAAGTAAGAGTATTCGCTAAAACTCTTTTAACTTATGAGTTTCAATTTTATTTAGCAATTCATTTTATAAGAATCAGCATATTTTCAATTAAATAAACTTTTATCGTACTTTTAATATTTCTCTTCTAACGTGCACAATCAAGAGGTTGTGAGTTTGAGTCACCCCAAGAGTAAGGTGGGGAGTTCTTGGAGGGAGGGAGCCGAGGGTCTATCGAAAACAACCTCTCTACCCCAGGATAGGGGTAAGGTCTGCGTACACACTACCCTCCCCATATCCTACTAGTGGGATTATACTGGGTTGTTGTTGTTGTTGTTGTTGTTATTGTTCTGACGTGAACAATGCACATGTCTTAAAAGAAGATGAGTTCCTACTTCTTGATTGATAATTATTAATTAAATAAATTTTATATTTTATTTTTTGTAATTTACTTTATTTTGTGTAAATAGCAATCTCAAATAGTGCA